CAGCTCCTCACTGTGCAGATGGACATGCTTACTGTAGCAGGAAATGCAGCAGGCGTTCTTGGAGCCAGCCGTCTTGCCATCATCACACCAGTACTGGCTGTTGATCTGGAAGATCCCGTAGTCACGGCTGCGTCCATTGTCATGCACAGCCGCAGTATTGTAACTGCTCTCGTGTTGTGCCAGGCAGAACATCTTGCCTTCAACCTTGTGGCCAGCCTCTGCTTTCTGAGCAAAGCAAGAGTGCTCCCTCCTGTGAGTACAACCTCCTCGGGCAATGACTTTTTTAAATTTCCAAATGTTTTCAGTTTCTAGAAATATTTCTTGAATACCTTTCAAGGCTGGAGAACTTCCAAGACAGCATGCAACAAGAAAATGCACACCAGAAAAACAAATATGGTCAGAAAAACAGAGGAAACAGCAATATGTTTTAAGGGTCTCAGATTCCCATAACTAGCTGAGGCATCACCCCACACATTGGTTTTCCTGGTAACATTCCTGCCAGAGACAAAAATGTGCTGCAACGCATTCAGAGCCTCCTTCCTGCAAGAAATGCTACAGTGGCCCTGAAACCCAAGAGCCTAGTCCAGCAGCTAAAATGCAATTCTTAAAGTAAGACTGGCTGTGAGGTTCTTCATTTCAGAGTCCTTGTGACTGTTGTTTTCCATTGTCCCTTCCCACTCCCACATTTGCGTTTATCAACATAAAACCATATTTCTCTGGAATTTCTCACTAGCTTCTTTCCTGTGTGCTAGGATTTTTATTGCTCCTGCTCCTCTCTCTGGATTGTTCTTTCCTTCTGGCTTCGCTCCTTGTCTGCAGACACCAAAGCCCTAACGGAGAAGTGGAAAGCAACACCCTGACTGCCAAAGGGCAGCAAACCTTCTACTTCCTTGTTGGGGTGTTGGCTCAGCTGAGAGAAGCCCTGGGGTAGCTGGCACAGGAGCAGTCAATCTTTTTGGAGCAAGAGCACATTTGATGTTTGAGAAACTGCCCCAGGAACTGCCACAAAATGGTTACCATGGGAGGCATGGATAAGGACAGGGAACTGCTTGGCTACAATGGATGGCTTGGATGGAATCAGAGCCCCAGTAAGAACATTCAGGCTGTTGGATCAATCCTGCCCTGGATAAAGACTAGAGAGATACTCACAGTCAGTGACTTTGCGTCCCACAAACCCTTCAAACTGATACTGCTTCAGCACCCTGGCCAGCTCACATCTCTCAAATATCTTGCCCTCAGCACCTGGCACCATCAACACTACGAGGAGGGACAGTCCCAAGAACAGAAGCAGCTTCATCTCTGCAAAGCTTGTCCAATCTGAGCAGTTTGTGCCTGACTGCCATTTTTAATGATTGGAGCCCTTTCCCAGTCTCCTCCCACTCCTGCCACGAATCTCAGTTCTCTTTTCCTGGGTGAGCTTCCAAGTTCAGTCCACCACGAACCCAGTTTTTTCTGTGATTGCAGCACCAACTATTTATCTGAGCCATTTAGCCAAATATCTGAGGTCATATTTCATTTGGCAAGGCAGGCAGAGGCACACCCTTTCCTAGGAGTCACTCCTTGCACTTATGTTGCTTCTAATTATTCTCTTCCTTCTGATTCTACCCAGAAAAGTGCTTTGCCAAGTCAATAAACACAACGTTATTCATGTTCACATGCATTCGATGTTATTTGCTGTAGGTGCAGTCAAGCAAATGCTTTCCAGGGCAGCCTCACCCACAGTGCTTCACTTCAAGGAAGTGCCTCTTTCCCAGAACGAGGCACGAGAGTGGCTACCAATGGGCTGTGGCGTGGCGGCAAAGGCTGTATCGGGGGTGAGGGGATGCTGCAGTAGCTGGGGGCAAGAGGCAGCCCTACACATGGTAACTGGGGTGTGCAACCCCCCACTCCCTCCAGACCCTCTGCCTGACCCATTCAGCTCATGGGGGGTTCGTGTTGGCAGAAACCTTGGGTCCCTTTTATTGTGGCACCAGAGGCAGCCCTGGATGGGCCAGTTAGCTTTTGTGGAAGCTTTTGTGCTGTCCTCCAGCAACATGCAAGTACATGAGGGGGTGTCATGCAGAAGTGGGCAGCCCCGCATATCATGCACTGCCTCAGCCTCCCCCAATCTTCTGCCTTCCAGAATGCAACACCCAGAATACCCAGTCAATGGCCCTCCTGGATGGGAATTCTGGGAGTTGCAGTTTTTGAAGGTTTGGGAAGGCTGCAGTATCAGTGAGTTCCCAGAGTGTGGATTCCTGTGGTCAGGCCTGCCCCGTCCAAGACTGGTTGTAACTCACGAACCAGCTGAAGCTATAAAAGCTGCTTCAGGCCCCCAAGGCCACCTGGGTCTGTTCTGTGAAACTCAGTCAAGGAGTGTCCCCTAAGCCTCAGAACTGTTGTAGGACTTCAGAATAGCTTGGACTCCCAGTCCCCTTACAGAGAAGGGCCACTAGGATGGTGGCTGGTTTGCAGGATAAGCCATATGAAGAGAGACTGAGGGAGCTGGGTCTTTTCAGCCTTGAGAGGAGGAGACTCAGAGGGGATCTGTTAGCAACATACAAGTACATGAGAGGGTGTCATGCAGAGGTGGGTCATGACCTTTTCCCCCTGCAATGGAGGGCAGGATGCATTCCAACAGAGCAAAGCTCAGGGAACCAAGATTTAGGGTGGATGCCAGGAACCACTTCCTGATGATTAGGGCCCCTAGGGTTTGGAATGGGCTTCCACGGGATGTGGTTGAAGCACCATTGCTGAGGATGCTCAAGGATAGGCTGGACATGCACATTGTAGGCATGTCATGAGTGGAGCTGGCTGGAGCCAGAGGTCGGTCTAGATGGCCTGGGACCCCCTTCTGACTCGCTCTGTTTTTTTTGTTTTTTTTTGTTTTGTTTCTATGCATGTTTCTATGTTACTGCCATTTAGTCCCAGGGCCTACTTCTAGCCAGGACTCAGCTTCAGCCAGCTGGTCCTTGTTGAGTTCAGTGTTGAATCCAGCAACCCACATTCAGGCCTCCCCTGAATCAGGACAACCAGAAACAGAGCTGGGTGTCAGCAGCATTCTCTTCCAGTCAACTTCTGTAACAAGCAGTGGCATGTCTTGCCCTAATGGGAATGGGGACAAATTGTGCAGACCAGGTTCTTGCTCCAAATTCCTGGAAGGTGGCACAGCCAGGAGAATCTGAGGGGTGGGGGTGCCTTTCACATACTTCAGCATAGGCTGAGAGGAGGACTGAGAGCAGCTGCTGCACCTTGCCAAGGGGGCTTTGTTTGTCCTTCATCAACCTTGATGCATGAAGCCAGGCAGAGCAGCTTCACTGCACATGAGCTCCTCCCATGAGAGAAGTCCCACACTCAGTCAGGCCAGCTGCTCTTGGGCATGCCTGATCCTGCAAGCCAGCGATATTCATTAAGAACAGAGCAACAGCAAGGCAATCCACATGCCCCACACCTTGGGACTGCACAAGCAGAACGAAGCTTTTACAGTTTGCCTCATCCGCTGACAACTTTCTCAGAGGCTCCTTCCCAAGGCTGGCAATTTTTCTCCCTCCATTCATACCTAAGGACAACCCTTCCAAGCCACAGACACGCATGTTTTATCTTTAACCCTGTCTTGGTCTGAAGAGAAAAGGCACCATCTTCTCCAACAGATGGACCAGGTAGGACATCCTTTACTCACAGGCATGACCTGGTCCCCTTGACATCATTTGTCCTGCAGAGCACTGGATGGGAGTTGACTGCTGCATGTGTATTTGGACACATCCCTGCAATGTAGGGAATGCTTCTGTGTGCATCAGCATCTTGCCGGCATGTGTCTGAATGTGCCTGTGGTGGGAAGAATCTGGCTATCATTAGGTAGAATCTAGCAGAAGCCTGTGACAGTGAGTTTTGGGTGTCAGGAAAGTGCAGATAATTGTTACCTAATATATTATTGACATCCCCAGAGAGGCACATGTGAGTTTTTGCACCCAAAGAAAGACAGCAAGAAGAACACAAGACGCCGCCCCTGGTTTCAGAAAGTTTCCCCATCATATTCTACTCAGGGCCAACCCTGTTACTGTTTCTGTACCAGGTTAGGACTGTCCTTTACTTCCAGGCATTTGATGACGTATAATGGTGCATTAATGCCAGATGTCTTTATTGTATTTTATTGTAAATGCTTTACTGTTTAAATTATTTTAAATGTTGTATGTTAAGAATTTGATGTGATGTTATTGTACTGTGAATTGTTCTTTTCTGTGAACTGCCTACTGGGCAGCATAGAAACACAATGAATAATGATGGCAATAACCAGAATAATAACTCAGCAATTAATACAACAATAACTTGAAAGAGAAATACAAGCATTATGGGGAAGGCTGTGACTTGAGAGAACCATATAAGCCTATTGTCTTATTCAACAAGGATTTTACAATTTGTGTAACATCATGTATCATTATATAAAAGAAGATGAGACAATAGTTGAACCATCCAAAGTCAGGTACCAGGAGGATATAAATCACAAAATCAAGTGGTTGAGGGAGTTCTTTCTGTTGGACTAGGACTGGGATATCTAGGTCCAAGTACGACTCAACCACAAAGCTCTCTGGGTGACTTTGGGCCAGTCACTTGTCTCTCAGCCTACCCTACCTTGCAGGATAGTTGTGAGGATAAATGGAGAGGGAGAAGAGGATCAGGTGTACTGTCCCTTGCAGGAAATGGAAGGATGCAACTGGAATGATTAAGCTACATTCCATTGAGATAGTGGATCTAGGCTTGCCTGGCTTCCAAATATAATTGAGAAGAAAGTTTGGCACAGGCAAGCTGTCTTAGTTATACTGAATCTGTCCGCCCCTGCAAGAGAGGCAGGGCCCTGGCTGTCTGGTTCCTGGACCAAATGACCAGAAGAGCATAGCAATTGCAACACCAAGCAACATATTTTCCACTTTTAGAGCTTAGGGTGCTCCCAGCGGGAGAGCTGTGAACACAATGAAGGTCTGTGCAGCAATTCTGTCTATTGCTCCTTTATAGATTTTCTGCAGTAAGATGGAAGAAGAGATGGGAAGGCACCAAAGAGTTCTGATGGGAAGGCACATATGGAAGCACCCATAACATGGTATTTATGTTTTGAGCCACCCCGAGGCTTCAGCGAATGGGGCGGCATAGAAATTTTCTAAATAAATAAATAAGACAGAGGCATCACAAAAATCTCTTGTGGAAGCACCTGTAATGTCTGTACTGGGAAGTACTGCTGGAGCATTGGTCAAACTGGCTTGGGGGTATGTGTGGAACTCTTTCCCAATCCCAGATATGACTATAAAATTCTCCACATGGGCAAGCTAAGTCTTAAAAAACACGCAAAACCTGTGGAAGGCACAACATTCTCCCATTCAGCAACCTGTTTATAGTTCCAGCAGGCTTCTTCCATGACCATGACTGGCTATTATCTTCGATAAATCTTGGAAAACAGGAGAAGTGCCAGACGACTGGAGAAGGGCTATTGCTGTTCCTATCTTCAGAAAGGGGGAAAAAGATGAACCTGGGAACTATAGACCAGTTAGTCTAACATCAATCTCTAAAAAAATTCTGTAGCAAATTATTTAAAAAATCCATCTGAAAACATCTTGAAGCAGATGCAGTGATTAATAGAAACCAGCATGGATTTATCAAAAATAAATTCTGTCAGGCTAATTTAATCTCATTTTTTGACTGGGTAACCTCCCTAAAGGACAAAGGGAACATTGTGAGAAATCTATCTAGACTTTAGCAAAGCTTTCAACATAGTGCCACATAAACAAATTAGCAAAAACTGGACTAGATGAAAAAACTATTAGGTGGATCCAAAATTGGCTGCTAAATCAGACACAAAGAGTGCTCATCAATGGCACCTTCTCAAATTGGATGGAGGTAAATAGTGGGGTGCCACAGGGTTCAGTCCTGGGCCCCATGCTCTTCAACATCTTTATTAATGATTCAGATGAGGAAATACAAGGAAAGATAATCAGATTTGCAGATGATACAAAACTGGATGGAATAGCAAACATCCTAGAAGAAAGAGTGAAGATCCAGGGCAAACTTGATAAACTTGAACACTGGGCTGAAACCAACAGAATGAGATTCAGTATGGACAAGTGCCAAGTCCTCCACCTAGGAAAAAGAAACCAAATGCATCAATACAAGAAGGGGAATAATTGGCTCAACAGAACCGAACAAGAAAAAGATATTGGAGTAATTGTGGACAACAGGCTAAACATGAGCCAACAATGTGATGCAGCCACCAAAAGGACAAATGCTACTTTGGGATGCATTAACAGAAGTATTACTTCCGATCATGAGAAATAGTAGTTCCTCTATACTCCTCACTG